TCGGTTTCACTTTTTTCTCCGTTCAAATTTGGCGCACGGTGCGCATGTGTGTTCTATTTACGGCTAAGGCACTACAGCTAAAGGTCGGCCGCTGATTGGACCGGACGTGACTGGAGGTTCTCAAATGATTTAAAAGCTTCTCAAGGTGCGTCGGACAGTGTCGAGTACTGAAAAGCGCCGTTAATGTAATTGATTTCGTTTAGTTTTATCGCGGAGCAACAACCGATGCCGATCATAGTAGCCCCCCGAGAATGTCAAGCACTCGAATTGTCGCAGAAAATCAGCTCGATACAAGTATAGCAGAGGGAGGGAGCAAGTATATACGTATATTCCAACGCTGCATAATTTAAATTCTCGTTGCGCAAACTCCTGATGAAAATGCGCGAGCAATTTCCACGATGTTAATTAGATGCACACTGGCGATACTCCCTTTTATCAAAAGACTCGGTAACTTTGGTATATTAGTTTCGAATGCAATGACGAGGGCCCATTCATAATTTACATCTTTATCTGCGCTGCCGCTACTCTTTTATGGCTAGTACATGTGAAAGCGCTCGTGTACATCAATTTATCAGATTTGTCGATGAATAAATCGCGCTTATATAGCATCCATTATGCATCCGGAGAGTTGTATCACTGCTAACCGATAAAAACGACAGCTTCGCTTTATTACATTTTGCAGTAGCATTAAATTTTCCCCTCGCGAAGAGAAAGAGAGTCGGCATGCCGAGCGAACCTATTAATTACAAAGTTTCTCATTAAAATTTGCATTTACGTTTCTGCGAGCACAAAAGACGAGAAAGAGAGAGAGAGCTCATTCATCCCTTCTGTGGAACATAACTCTTTCATTTCCTATTCCATGCATAATTTCCCATTGCACAAAAGTTCAAACGATTCTGCCCGTCCCCTTTACTTATTTTCTAAAAAGCTCCGCCTAAAAAGTATCCGCCGTTCTGCGCTCTCTTTGGAATCTTTCTCTATCGATCGCGCAAGTTTTTCGCTCTTTTTGCTTTGCAGCGCGAAGCAGCACGTGGAAATGGTTTCCGACGAGCGATGAATTGCGAGCACTGTGCTCGGATAAGCAGGAGCCCGTCCGAGGCGCCCGCCGTCTGCGGTGTCCCTGATCGATTTGTATCTCTTCGCGCGCGATATCAATTGTGCCTCCTTTCTATTATCTTTATGTGCGCCGAAAGCTAGGCACTCTTTTCCTTTTGCCGAGCAGAAAGAGGGACGAGAGTGACGCGATTCTCCAGCCACAGAGGGAATATCGTAAAGCTAGAGCCGCTCGAGCGTCGCACACTTCGCGCCTGCACTTTATCACCTCTTCTCTCGTTCTCTGCCACATCGCTTTCAATACCCCCCCCCCCCCCTCCCCCCTCAATCGACGCGCGGCAGCGCTTATAATTTAAATTCGCGACTCGATCAGCCCCTCTTTTGCCCCCTAAAATTGCCTAACTGTGTTTTCTAGATTCGATCCCGCCCTGACCCCAAACAAATCAACATGAGTAATAAATAACTTAATCAGGCGTTAATTAATGCTTTCCCGCAGACACCACGGGCATAGAAATGTAGCTGTCCGTCGATTACCACGTATCATTTCAAGTACTATTCGTTATCTGCGTATACTTTGAGTGCTTGCGATTGGTCAATAAACATTCAGCGAAAATATAAATACACGTCGTAGCTGGGTAAAATTTTTATTTGCTTGTCACGCAGCATCCTGCGAGAAGAACCGAGCAAATAAAGGGCGCGGTGACACATCCAATACCGTGCGTCGTCGACGACTTTAATAAATGCACGTGCAACGTTTTGCTCGCGTTTTCGAACGTCGGACGTTGTGTCTACAAGGAATTACGTGATTGCGCACAGTCGTTTATAGTTTTAGCGCTACAACGCTGATATTAAAAGCGCAAACGAGAAGTTTAGTGTCACATTACGCGCAAGCGTACAGAGAGTCGTCTGTTATAAAATGATACAAGACCTAAACTACCATAGAATAAGCACACCCACGGGCCTCATAAACGGTTGGCGGTTCAACGATTGCCGACAGTGCAGCGCTTTATACAAGCAGCCTTCGAAGAGAGCATCTAAATCAAAGGAGCACGAGAGGGTCGAGGCATCTGCGTGCCTCGAAAAAGAGAGAACAAGGAGGAGCCACGATGTGGTAATCTTGTAATCACGCACTTGGCCGAGTGAGACTGTTATTAACGGGTCCCCGTACAGGCGCTACGCCACACGAGCTTGAGTGTCGCGCCTTTCTCCTTGCGAAACTCCGATGAATAGGTGATTCGCGCTGGAATCAGCCTATTAATTATTGCGCAACGCCGTCGCGCGCTTCGGCAACGCTTCCTCGTAGATGCCGCTGTCGTTGTTGCTGCTTTTCTTTCAAGGCAATTTCGGTTAGCTGCGCTGCCGATGGCATATGTGTGGGCTCTGATACGATTTGCATGTATATATACCGAACTATTGACGCGAGCACAAGTTTCAAAGTAACGGGAAACCGGCCGATGCAGATGTGAAAATCCACGAGCTTTTAACTCGATTCTGTTGCCGCGAGTTTCACGCAGTTTGCATATTTACATAGTCGCGCGCGCGTATGTTGGAAACTTTCTGCTACGCGAGCCATGCAACGTTTGTACGCGTTTAGTAAGCTAATCAACTACCTCTAAGCGCGTAACACCCAATGCCGATGAATTATTTCATAATTTTCTCGACAACTACATGGGAAAGCTCTTCGTGTTTAGTGAGCTCGTATTGTCAAGTGACGAGCGTACACGCGACTAAAATATTCACCAACGAATTTACCTCGCAATTAGTGTCGCTCATCCTATCAATATCGCAAGCCCTTTTCATTTCGTGGTAAAGAATATTAACCGTCAAATTGTCTAAGAGTTGAATAGAATGGCGCAATAATCTCGTGAATCTTATATACAGCCACTCGATATTTATTAGACATTTCAAATTCATTTTTATGAATTGAGGCTGATTTTTACCAATGAAGAATTCCGATAAGACGATTGGATACACTATTCGGTAGATATAGAGAGAGATAAGATAGTACTTGAGATTTCTGGAAGAAACCAAGGAAATATTGAAGCATAATCTAGCCAGAAGGCACTTTCGTCAAAAACTGTTAGCCAGTCAGCACAGCAGTTGGGTTCAATCGTAGAAAATTTTTCAGAAATATATAAATCTATTGTACGCAGCGTTGGATGGAGCGAGCTCTTCACAAAAGGTTACGGGAAAAAATTGTTCGGTAATGGTCGGGTAAAGAGGTCAATTCACTTTGTACAATGTACGCGTCGACTATCAGTTTCAACGCGATATAAGCCATACAGCTCGGCTCTAAAAGTTGTTAGGCTTTTCACAAAAATCAATTTTCGAACGTGTAAAAACGAGCAACACCATTTATCCGCGTTATTTTTTTACGCGTCATAAGTTTCGTTCGAGCCGATAAACTGCTAAAACCTACTCAACGCGGAATCCGGAAACAGCCAAAAGGCAACGTAAGTCGATTCCTTATCACGAAGCCAAACTTTCTGAAGCAAAGTCGATTTGGAAAAGCTAGAGGTAGTAGCCGTTCTATCGGTCAAAGTCACGACTGCACATGCACTTTCACGCTGAATAGCTTAACGAGTATAACGGTTTCGCTTGCAAAACGAGCGGCGAATATCTAATTCGGCAAAAATTAGCATGCGAGTGCATATCTTTTTTTTTTTTCATTGTCAACCTCGGCCTGCTCTCTTCTTCCGTACCCTCCCCCGCTTCCCCATCGCCACTCGCACTTTGTATGCAGAAGCTTTGCAGCAAAGTGCTCGTTCGCATTTGCATAACGAGAACGCGCGAATGTAACGTGGAAAAGACGAGCAGCCGTGCGCTTGTTCTTTCTTTTTCTTTCACGCCCGCGCCCGAAGGGTGTAAGCACCCTGCTGACACACCTCCCTCCGAGTTCAAGTGTGACGGAGCTTTGTTTCTTCATCCACTCTTTTCTCATTCAAATCGCGGCAATGCCCTTGCTCTGGCCTGGATTGTGTCCCGAGTGAATCACAGACTTACGTGGACTCAATTAACCATTTGAAGTAGCGCATACGAGTATGCGCGTAAGCTCGTGCGTAAGAAGCGTCAGCATAAAATCACTGAACTTTGCCGGCGACGCAACGCGGCAAGGAAAAATTAAGAGCTAGATATACTTTTCCGAAAGCGTCTGCTCGGGCGATAAGAGGAGTTAACAGCGGCAGCGGTGCCGCGTGTGTCAAGGCCGACTTGCCGCTCTCTCTCTCTCTCTCTCTGGCTCGCGTTCGTTGGCTACATTATGGATCCGCGCTTCTCTGCCCGCCCGGCTGCCGCCTATGTAGTAGCTGCGCTAACTCTTTCGCGCGCGCAGACATGCTCAATTTTTCAGTTATAACGCGCAAAATTCCAGAATTTATATGTATAACCCACAACGTCGCGAGAGATGAGACGCGTAGCAGCTAGTGAAAGTTTTATGACGATGTCGGGGACTATTTTCTTTCGGACGTGGAATTATGAAAATAAAATTGCCCTGTGCGTGGTAGCCGATGCAATATTTGTACACCAATTATAAAAATGTACGCCGGTAATTTCCTTTCATCGCCAGCCGCGTATATGCGCACGTGTGCAAGAAAATGAACATCAACAGTGTTCTGTGGGTTTTACACTGTGGATATTGAAAGATATTATAATATTAAAAGATGCCTACCGAGGAGCGATGAGCACAGAGCAAGGCAAAAAAACATTGAATATCATTATGCACAGCAACTCGACAAATCTCCTCGATAGCTGTTAATGAGAAAACTTTGCGAATGCGACATGCGCCTGCATGCGTATCATTAAAATGATCTATAAGTGTTAAGCCGTACTGATAACTTTATCAGGTGCCTTGGAACAACAAAAAGAAAAGAAAATGTCCGCGTACATGGAAAAAGTTGTGTTGTCGTCGGACATTTGTAGTATTGATAACTAAGCAAATCTATGCTCACCCTCGAGATGCGCAATGGCTGATTCTGATCGCAGCCGCCAACCATACGGAAGCCCCAAGGCGAGCCGCCCACCAAGGCCACCTCCCTTGCGCTCATGTCTTCACTACCGCCACCACTACCGACACCAGTCACCAGCACCGGCACAACACTTTGCTTCTTGTCCGTTCTCGGGCGAACAACAGCAACGACGGCACTAATAAACGTCGCAGCGACACATCGTCGTCACTTACTGGCTGGCGACTCGGGCTACACTATACCAGCACGGTCAACAACAACTAGTCCGGCGGGCCGCGCGCTATGCCTCGCGCCCGCGCAATATCGACGCCTGACCTGGGCTACTCTGGCTCTGCTGCTGTTGCTGCTGCTGTTGCTGCTGCTGCCGCTGCCGCTGCCGCTGCCGTTGCCGCTGCTCTCTCGCTCGCTCACAGGTGCGTACTGCCGACAAGCCGGCTCTTCTACTAGCACGCGATCAGCTGATCGAGCGACCGCCACCGCCGCCCGCCCGCCCGTCCGAGTTGCGCGCACGAGAGTCGATGCGCCCAGCCGACAAAAGGAGTGGGAGCCTAGCCAGCCAGCCTCCTCCTCGTCGCCGGCGCACTGCACGACGCAACGATCAGCCGCTGCATCTGGGAGCTTCGATGCGTGTAGTCAGCGCGGACGAAGCAGGCTGAAACAGTCGTTCGCAAGATGCGAGTGTCGGGTGAGAAAGGGCACTTCCGCACTTCTGGCACGCTCTCTCGGCGCCTTTGTGAAAACTTTCGGATTTGTGGCAGCAGCAGCAGCAGCAGTAGCAAGGCGCAACTTGAATGGGCCGAACGCGACGACAACTTTCGGCAAGCTCGGCGACGACTCGCTAGAAATAACATTTCAATTTTACAGGACAATGCAGGAGTGTCCCGTTGCCCGGAAGATTACGTTACGCGAATGGCAATTGTATTCTGCCTTGGAAATCCTGCTGCCGGACTCTGAAATTTTTCGCGTGATATTTGCGAGCTTCTCTGTTTTATGAACGCAAAACATCACGCGGCGACGAAACAACGCCAATCTTTGAAGCGTGAAACACTCTTGCTTGGAAAAAATGGGTTGCGGGCAGCAACAAAAGCGCATGCTTGCCATGCAAAAACGAAATCCAGGTCGTGCATTTCACGGACGAACAAATTCAAAATTACTTGTATAAAGCGGTGAAAGAAGAAAGTAGAGGGGAAAGGAAAATAAAAATTAAAGTCCATCTCGAGTCCAAAGCCGGCTACTTTGTCCGGAGAGGCGCTCGGCAATTTTTTCCGCGATAATCCTGCTTTTGATGCAACGCTAAGTGAAACTTCTGCTCGACATCTCGCAATTACGCGACTAAGAGCTGCGCCGTGGAGCAAAGCGCAGCAGCCAAAAGACTACCGGCGAAAGTAAGTCCTTCCAATTAAAACGTAGCGCGATGTCAGTCGTTATTTTCAGAAAAGTGGCGGGACAGCTGAGCGCTGCCGCGCCGTGCCCGAGCTTTCGAAAAGCGCGCCCAAGAACGTCGTCGACAAAATCGAGCAAACTTGCGCCTAATTAGTTGATTAACAAAGTTGCCGCGCAGACGCCTCGTCCAACAAGGCGCATTATACATGTTTCTCAACTGTGTGACACGCATACACGTTCGAGCTGATGACGCGAAGAAAGCAGCAGCTTAACTTTGGAGAGAGACGCGAGCAGGAAACAAGATGTCTCTCAGGCCAAGTTTTAAGTGCCTCTGTTTCGAATAACAAGTTCAGCTATAGGCGGCTTCATCGAATCTATATACGAGGCGTTCCCATACCGCTCACAGCTAATTCTTCTTCATTTATGCTATTTCTCGTTCGCGGCAAAAATAAAAGGATGCCTTATTCACGGCCGATGACGGACGCTCTTTTACCAATAATCGGAATTAATATTATCGTCCGTGATAATAAAAAGCCGATAGTACGGCATCCGTCCGTGGTTTATATAAAATACAACAATCGTTTTAACGAGCAAATTTGCTCGGGGAAAGGAAGCGCGAAAAGGAGGAATTGATAAATTTGACGATGAGCAACACGCCGAGTGACTTAATTCATGAGAATGCAAAAGTCCTCGAGCGATAATCAAGTCTCTGCGAGCGGTTTCGCATAACGTCAAGGATTAAGCGCGGCTGAAAGATATAGTCGCTCGAATGGATTTTATAAGAGGTTTAGCTCTCCTTTTTTCCGACGCTCTTCCTTTAGCAGCAAGATATTTCCTCGGCTCAACGCGCGGCATCGAGATACAAATGGAAGTTGAGACTTGGCGAATGAATGCGTTGTCATGCACTCTGAGACCGATTTGAATTCAATTGTGATTAATCTTGCGGCCTGACTGTCGTAACTGTGACGCAATCGATCTATCTCATAAGTCCGATTTCGCAGGATGGTCATTGAGCTAAGGCACGCCGCACATCCACGAGTAGCGTTCCGGCTGAAAACTCCAAAGGGGCAAGATATATAACAAAGTGTTATCAAGATTAATGAGGCCCGGGCACCTGACCATCATAAATCACGATGTTGCGCTGCGGCGACAAAAAGCTCATTGAAGATGCCGATTGCTAAAAACACTATAGACGGTGTGATGCCGCGGCGACCCGGTGCGCGATGGCTTTTTTGTTGGACAACTGAGATGTGCCGCACACTTCCCGTTGACGGCGAACGCGAGGGGATAACCGGACGGTCTAGTTCGCTCGCGACCCAATGTGTGTTTGAGCGCGACGTGGAAGCGCGTGGACCTCGCCATTTACGCTTGGCCGCTTCTTGCGGTAGCATCTCTCATATACACGCGGAGTGCGCCTATGCGGAACTGCGACTGCGAGTGAGCCGAGTCTGGGTCAATGATTGATTGATGAGGTAAACAATGGCAAAGCAACGTTGCGCTTTCAAGTCTCTTAATTATTTATGGTCCTTGTTTCCTCATTTTTTTTTTATTTTGGCTGCCAATCACAAGTCAAGGAAAAAATGCGAAAGAAAGTCCACAGAATATAATATATTTTTTATGTCCGAACAGAATTGTTAGACTTACACTATATAAGGCTTAACCGTGAATTGGATCGGTTGAACTTGTCACAGACGTTTTTACCTCGAGTATCGTTCTATTTTCCTAATTATACAAAATTTATTGTACTTTAGTTGTAACCGTCTTTATTTACATTTTACAAAATATACATTTAATTCTACTATAGCACAAAAGAATTAACATACTTTGATATGATATCGACGATTAAAACATGCATTTGTAGTCGGTGCAGTTGATATGTGAGAAAAAAAATGTATGTAAGAAATGCAAGAAGCAGCTACTCTGCAGAACAAGCACGCAGAAGCCATAAAAACTACTTCAAGAAAAATGCAACAGCTAATTTCATATTCATCCGTAAACTGAAGACTCCACAGTGGAGAGTATCCACTGTGGAAACTATCGAATGGAACGTTATGTACATTGTTTAGTAAATATAAAAGAAGGATATTAAAAAAATAATTAAATCAAAAATATCTATGAAAGGCTATTGTAGACGTGATATATAGAGGTGCGTGTAACAGACCTGATTGAACTTGCAGTGCGGTGCTGGCGGCGGAAGCGGCGTCGCTTTGATTAATCGTTCCGACACCTCCCATCATCGAGCAATCGTTGTCGGACAATCAATTGACCATTTTCATACGAGCCGGCAAGCTTGAAAATCACGGCCCAGGGCGTAAAACTCGCTGCGTGTGCCGCGACTTGTTGTTGTGCGTCGTCGCCCGGCGCCGTGCGGCGGACATGTCAACGTCGCGTTAACGGCATGCGCATGGATGTTTTAGTGTGCGCAATACCCATGCACTCCGCGAGTACGAGGCGCACGCGCCTTCGATACACCCTCGCGATGTTCGCTAAACTTTCCGACCAACTGAGATGGCGCACAGCGCCTCGATCTGCTCGAATGTCAAATTGCCGCCAGACCGTTCGGTAGGCGTTTCACTTACCATTCGTCGATCAGCTTGCTGTTGACAATTTTCTGGATTATTTCGAGATGGTATGATTTGACGATGTTCTGATGGTACTGCATTTGGTTTCTGCGACTTACTCTCTTATTGTTATTAACGGTTATCAAGTTGCCATTTCCTGCAGTGGCAGTGATAAAATGAATAGATGGTAAAAAAATAGTCATATTTCGGTATTTGTTCAAAGAAAATATAGATTAAAATTATTCATTAAGTATGAATTTTTTATATTCAATAACTTTCATCTATATATTAATGTTAATTATATAATATGTGCTGACAGATCTAATAATATATCCATAACCAGCAGCAAACTTATTATTTATTAAACTTGTCGCTATGACTGCACGAAATTAGTTTGTATATATTCATAATCGCGATTATGTATTTACCTCACATTTAGATAAATTAATTAGAACCATTGTTTCGAAATTTATTTTTTTAGATGAAAGAATATGGTGCTTGCATGCAATATATTTGAAATAGTTGTAATTCTGTCAATGTATTTTTTATATGAGCTAATAAAACCACTATCTAATCTAAATGGTATTAATCGAACATTAAAACTGATTAATTAATACTCATGATGTAATTTGTTTTTTGATAAAGATAACCGTTCAAAAACAATCTATTTACATTTTTTTAATAATACAGTGATACACTTTTTATTTCAAATATATTTTAAATGAACAGTTTTACGTAAAATTAATTTTATTACTTCAAGTATATTTCATCCTTTTAGTTCATTAATTTTATTATATAGCGATGATTTACTTTTCATTCTTGCTACTATAATTCAGTCAACGTGGTGTGACGTTGGAAAAGACAATACCTTTAATTACACTGTTTTTGGTCTGCACTCTTGTGTAATACAACTGAAACCAATGTAAATTTGTTGTTACTAAAAGACTAAAAAGTCTGACAATATAGGTTGTATAATCTAATTTTCCCTAGTAGATGTGGCTCTATCTCATGTACTTGCAACGATCGAACTTACAACTACATTCTATTCCAGACACTTTCACGGACCGAGTTTAGTTATAATCCTATGATAATATTGATCCAGACTCTTGCACAGCCAATATAGCGTAGAATTAGTAAATTAATGGGACAGACTATTCGTTCATGAACTAAGAGATGATGATAAAATAGTAATAAAAAGTGTTATTAATAAAGTGCTTGTTAGTACCATAATAAAACTTTACGTAAATTTAAACAAATTTCGAAAACTGAGGGATTCCCCTTCTAAAATTGTATAATACGAAATTAAAGTACGAATATGAGAGCCTCTCCTCCAAAAATACAAAAAGTAATGTTCTGTTAATTGTGTCGGACAGTGTTTGGCCCTGGAGTTTTACTAGTTGTGGCGTCACTCCTTTTGGGTTCCATGAGGACATCTGGAAGTTGACGAGATCATCTTGCCGTCATTGGTTCAATCATGACAATAAAATTTCAAATAACGCATAGTAACAATGAGATCGATTCATAATTGTCAGAAAGCGCGATCGATTTTGAGACGTGTGGGCGGGCATATTTGAATTCAACTCTTTTCTCGAGAGATGGCTCAATGCACACCATTTTATAGTTTTTAATACATACAATTACAGTTTACAAAGATAGATACATTTTACATAGGATATTTAACGATACGACTCCGACAACTGATAATTTAAAAGCGAAATTGAGATTTCATATTTTTAATTTATATTAATTGAATAAAAGTGAATAAACAAATTATTTGGGAAATACGATACGAAATTTCAATTTTTCATTCACATATATATTAATTTAATTTTCTTTAAGAAAAATAATTTTGATATGATTAACAAAACATTTGTTGGAATTACTTTTTTTATGTTAGTACACTGTAGATCGAAAGAAAGATAAATCGATAGATAGATATATAGGCAGGAAGAGAGAGAGATTAAGAGATAGAAAGAGAGACAGACAGACAGAGACATGCAGACAGAGAAAGAGAGGCAGACAGACAGAGAAAGAAAGGCAGACAGAGAGGGAGAGAGAGAGAATATTCAATGTCTGTAAATGTTAAAGTTGTTATTATAAAATATTGAATTTTATAAAAACGTTTTTTAAACCTTCTGTAACTCTTATTTTCATGCTAGTATTTCTTATCATATGTACATATATCTAAAAATATAAGTATATTGATATACTCTAGTCTCAATGCCCCTTAGTTATCGATTTTGAAGAATCCCATATTTGAATCTTTATGAAAGTAAACGTTATACCATCAGATTTATTGAAAAGAAAGAATATAAAGATTCATACAAATATTCAATCACCTTCATAATAGGTCAAAATCAAGAGAAATGAAAAATAACATAGTTTATATTTTATATAGATTTATTCATAGTATATATTTGAACACACACACGAAATGTAAAATAATGTTTTTTCACACGTTTTATAATCGTTATCCTATATTAGAACTATTCATTACATTTTATATTTACTTATGATTAACGCATCGTGGAATGGATGAAGAAGGTTGGATTATTTTAAAATAAGGCACCTTGGTGAAACCAAAAATCATACAAATGATGAAATGAAATTCATAACAATATAAAACTTAATAGTTAATTCAAAATAAAATTCGACATTTCAATGTCCGATCAAAAAATGATTGTATTATATGCAATTCAAAATAATTATCGTTCACATATTCATAATCAATCAAAATTTGAACAACTTATGAAATTACGAATATTATTTAGAATATTTAGTATTCGCAACAATAACAACTTAAATTCAATGTTTATCGAGGTAACTGCGGTTTTGATACATGAGTTATTGTAACAATTCAAATAACTGAAACGGTTGTATTTCAACAACATTATTCATGTTTAATGAACTGTTTATAAAAATATTTCGATAACATAAATTTAGAGAAATCCATGTCAATTTTAATAAATTTATTAATATGAATACATACATTGATTATCGCTCAGATTAGTTTAAACGGAAATGTTAATACATTAGTCGAAAAAATGAATGATAAAATTATTTGTAAATGGCTACTTAAAAAATTTTGTACTTTTGAAAAGTATAGCGAATAAATTAAGAAGGATATGTTAAATAAAGAATTACAGATAAAATTTGCTTTTTACTTTCCAAATGGTAACTGCATGTATTATCCAGCATATAACGACTGATATAATAAATTTGAAATTTAACTTTATGACAACTGTCAAACTTAATCAAAATAACGGTATAAATATTAATAGTCATTTTTAGAACAAGTAACTTCAACTGAATAATCAAAAACAGCAAACCCAAACAATGGCTGAAACAAAACCTTCTCAAAATTTTTAATAGTCAAGAAACAAACAAAAACTCAAATTTTAAATGCTAAAAATACAAACAGTAAAAATGGAGTAAAAATATAAAAATACAAGGAAATAAGCGTAATCAACGCCACTAAGGCGGCACCTTTTGAAATAAATGTTAATTTTGTTTAACAGACGAAACAATGAAAACAAGTACTCAAAGATACAAAATGAAAGTTTCTGAAAGATCGATGTAGAAATTTTAAACATGTCCAAACAAAAATTTAATGAAATATTCATAAACAAGTATTCAATGCAAGTATCAAAAGCAAAAGAATTACAACAAGAATCAAACGAAAAATCAACGCAAACGTGAACATTTTTTCAATCAACTGCCATTGAAAAACATAAACAAAAGTAGTCCGCAGATCTGATAACTTAACTAGTATAACAAAAATGTATGAACAAAATCTGAATAATATTTGAGGTATAATTGAGAAGAAAGGCACGAGTGGTAAAACCATTCTTAAAAAATATTAGAAAATTATAAATGATTGAATGTGAAAAAAAAATGCTTTTTATTTTTTAACATAAAAAATAGAATATTATATTTTCAAAATAAGGCATCAAAAACTGCGATTTAATGAATGTAAGTGAAAAAAACAAGTACGTCTATAGATTTTGTTTAATTGTGTGAAATACAATCAAAGAAAACTTAAAAAGTTCAAACATAACTAAAACTGAAACTCAAAAGTATTCATTAACAAATTGAATTTCATTAAAGACAGGAAACAAAAAGTGTTAAGGAAAATAATAAAATAGAAATAGACTGAAAAATTGAAAGAAATTTAAAAAAGTATCGAAGAAAAAATTGTAATAAATTTTAAACTTCCTTCACCATCCAACGAATGCGTTAAACCTACAGCTAGATTTTCAAATCTAATTGTTGAAATTGATTACTTGAATAAAAGAACTATACGAGCTAATCTAAAGCAAAATTTCTCTAACCTAAATAACTATACCTAGTTAGCTGTACTTACTGAAAAGTTGAAAATGGAAAACAATGGATTGTACTCGAATACTGCTATATTCGAAATGTCGAAAGTTGGAACATAAAAGAAAACAATTACAAAAAAAATATAGAGGAATCATTAATCCATTGGCCCTATCAACTACAAATAACTGAACTACATAATTCAATGAGGAAAAACACACAAACACTACAAAATTTTATTCATACGAATTAAATGTATGAACTTGAAAAAATGTACAATCCAAACGTCTTAAATCCTCTTATAAAAGTATTTGCAATACAAGTAAAATTTTAAAAATTACGAAACCTAAACAAGTTAATTTTTGAAGTAAGATCTTGAACGCTAATAAAATACCAAGATCAAAGAAAAAGTATAACTATTCACTGGAATATTCATTCATGTTTTCAAAGCCTCAAAATGCATTGAAAAATA